GTCGCCCCATTGTGGCCATCATTGGAAGGGGATGGGTGGGCAGAGTCATGTGTAGGCTCGAGCTGCTGCCTCATAAGTGAGCTTGCGGCAGGATCAATGACCAAGATCTAGAAGTCAGAACCCACGGAGTTGCGGAGAGGGTGGTCAGGGAGCCAGAGGGAAGGGTGAGTGGCAAAAACATCACCGTCTGAAGCCTTCCTATTCGAAGCTGTATTTTTTCCTCAAAAATCCACCGAGGCTCAGACTTGAAGTGGGCAGCCTCATGGCTTTGGTTTCTGGTTGCGTCGTGGGGCTCTGGAAAGGGGAAGGTGGGGTGACCTGAGCTTCTTCTCCTTGGGTGGGATGACTGCCGGTGGTCACTCCTTTCAGTCTTGTCCTTGTTGACACTGCTCCTGTGGAGGGCCAGCATAAGCGCCGGACTTTTTGGAATGGAGCGTCTTGGCCGGTGGTCGCCGCTTTGCCGCTGGGCTTCACCGACACTGTCTGGGTGGCCGTCGAGCTTTCTGTCTGGCCCCCAGTTCCTTGGGTCTCTTTGTCTGTCCTGGCTCTTGCATGACTGTGCCTCTGTCCTGCCAGATGGGCCGTGCCTGGCTTCTATGCCCTCTGGGTGCAGTGTGTTCACTGTGGTGTTTCTCTTTTCTTGGGCTCTCGATGACTGCGCGTCTGTGCTGTGCGGGCGCCTTGTCCTGCTCCTGCCGGTGCTGTCTGGTTTGGCCCTGCTTTCCTGTTCTCCGTGGCTGTGGGTCTTGGGCTGGCGGTTTGTATGTTGAGGTATTGTTCTCTGGCACCCGGCTCTGCATAGATGGTTGTCGTCCTTGCTCTTGGGGTGCCTGGGACTTAGGTTTGCCAGGGACTGTGGAGACCTTCTTTTAATGTTCTCTGTGGCGTTGATGCCTAGGGACAGATGAGGAACCTGTTGAGATTGGAAGCTGGAGTATTGTGGAAACAGATCAGGCAGAAGCATAAGATATGTTTTTTTTTTTTTTTTTGTTTTTTTGAGACAGTCTTGCTGTGTCACCCAGGCTGGAGTGCAGTAGTGCAATCTCAGCTCACTGCAACCTCCATCTCCTGGGTTCAAGTGATTCTCCTGTCCCGAGTAGCCTGCCACCAGCCTGGCTAATTTTTGTATTTTTAGTAGAGATGGGGGTTTCACCAAGTTGGCCAGGCTGATCTCAAACTCCTGACCTGCCCAGTGATCCACCTGCCTCGGCCTCCCAAAGTATTGGGATGACAGGTGTGAGCCACTGCGCCCGGCCAGAAAATAGATTCAGACAAAAGCGGAATAGAATTTGAGATACGTACGTAGGACATACAGGAGAGCATCTTATCCAACAAACGTTTACTAAATGTCTATTCTGTGCAGTGTGCTGTGCAGGCACTGGGAATACAAATTTGAATAAGGCACAGACCTTGGACCTATGTAATACACGATTATTGTTATTTAAGGCAGGAAACAAAGGTTGTTGATCACTGGAGAAAGGCAGGGCCGGCCAAGGCAATATTGGAAGCAGGCTGATTACCTAGAGCCCTTCCTCCATTAGGGCCTCCCCGCCTGAGCTGCAGCTGACCCTGGCTGGTACTTCCAGCCTTTCTCAGCCTCAGAGCAACACATTTATTCAGGGTTTCCAGTGGGGGCAATCTCTATTCTGACCTTGAAACTGAAGCCTAAATTTCCCAGGGGTGTTAGGAAAGGGCTGACAGCTGACAGTTCTTCCTCCTTACCTCCCAGGGATCCTTCCTCCTTGAAACACCTTTTTTTTTTTTTTTTTTTTTTTGAGATGGAGTCTGGTTCTGTCGCCCAAGCTGGAGTGCAGTGACGCGATCTCAGCTCACTGCACCCTCCACCTCTCTGGTTCAAACAATTCCCCAGCCTCAGCCTTCCGAGTAGCTGGGATTACAGGCGCATGCCACCATGCTTGGCTAATTTTTTTTTTGTATTTTTAGTAGAGATGGGGTTTCACCATGTTGGCCAGAATGGTCTTGATCTCTTGATCTCATGATCTGCCCTCTTTGGCCTCCCAAAGTGCTGGGATTTTACAGGTGCGAGCCACCGCCCCCAACCTTTTTTTTTTTTTCTTTAAGAGACAGGGTCTTTCTCTGTCACCCAGGTTGGAGTGCAGTAGCACATCATAGCTTACTGCAGCCTCAAACTCCTGGGCTCAAGCGATCCTCTGGCCTCAGCCTCTCAAGTAGCTGGGACTATAGGCATGCACCACCGTGCCCAGCTAATCTGTGTGTATGTGGGGGGGGGCGGGGGCGGTGTGCGTGCGCGTGTGCGCGTCTGTGTTTTTAGAGACTGGGTCTCACTGTGTTGCCCAGGCTGGTCTCAAATTCCTCACCTCAAGTGATCCTCTGGCCTTGGCCTACCAGAGTGTTGGTGTTACAGGCGTGAGACACCGCATCTGGCCTAAACACACACATTTTTAACTGGACTTGCTTAGAAAATGCCTCTGCCTTTGTTATATGACTCAGAGAAGTAGCTTGGATGAGAGAGATTTCTGACCAGAAAGAGAGACGGGCCTCAGGGCAGGGTTGGACTGAGATATGGAGCATCCCAAAAAGGCTAATGGGCTTCAAACCCTAATTCTTTCTGTATTTTTCATTTTCAACTAAGAAAAAGAAAAGGAAAAATTTATTATAAGAATAGAAAGTGTTTTAAGGAACCCAAGAGCAGGAAGTAGTTGAGCCTCTGGGAGGGCTTGGAACCAGGAATCTCTCTCTAAGACTTTATCTCCATCTCACCTCTCCCTCTGAATCAGCTTTCTTCTTCTCTTTCTTTCTGTCTCTGCAGACAGGTCTCCTCTGCTCTCCAGCCCACGGGCTGGGGGAAGATTGCCATCCCATAACACCTGTGCTGGGGACTGTGGACTCTCTTTGCTCCCAATTTTTCACTCTTGCAGGAGAAGACTGTGGCCCCCTTGGGTCCTATCTCCATCCCTTTCCAGGGGTCTTGGTCACATACTATGTGACATTCTGGGGCTCACTCTGTGCATGGGAGGAGGACACTTTTAAGAGGAAGAGGGGGTTATTGGTTCATGAACTGGGAAGACACCCCCAAAGTATCCATTCTGAAAGAATGCCACTCAACACAGAGTGAAAAACCTGAGTGAGTGAAGAACACATTCTTGATCAATTCATTCCACATTTGCCTGGTAGAAGGTCTGAGTGCTGTGGGCGGGCGGGTGTGAGGCTCGCCACTCCTCTTGGTCTGACTACTCAGTGTAAGCTCCAAGCTCACTTGGGCCATTCAGCAAAATCCAAGCTGTTCACTCGGTTTAACAAACAGCTCTTGTTACCCAGCAAAGCCTCTTGGTAGATTCATTTCCCAATCCCCAACCTCAAGAAGCCTATGGAAACTTCCCTTCCAAACTCCGGCAGCAGTCTGCAGAGAGGAATTCTGCTGAACGACATTTTCCCTATCTCGAACATTTTCATGGACGTAGCTGCCTGGCTGGCAGGCACCTTAACTCGGCCGTGGCGGGGAGACATGAGGAGGCAGGGGTAGTTTTTGACATCACACATCTCAAGCCACATAGCACGGACAGCTGGCCATCTGCTTAGTGGCCAGACTGACCCTGAAGAGGTAAGGCACTCCTCTCTGGAGCCCTGTCTGGCGGCAGGAATGGCGCAGTGACTCCTGGAAGCCCTCTTCCACCACAAATCCACAATTGATTGATGACTCGTTCAGGTTTTGCAGGAAGTCACAGCAATAATCCAGGTAGTGACAAAATTATGTAATTAAGTTTCATTTAATTCCCTAGAATTAAATACACCTATGATTGCTAGGGCTGGGGTGTTGAGAGAGGCATTTCCTTATTCTCATGCATGGTGTTTACTAAACCCTCAAATTGGGTCCATATGCTGAGTGCCCTGTATTCAACGTGTTCGGCCCTGTGTGGTCTGACCCTGTGAGCTGGGCTGGGGTGTGGGAAGGCTTTTTCCCATTAATGACTTCTAGTCCGGAGGCACAGGAAAATTAATCATGGATCATACCCAAGCAAAAAGCAACTTACCTGCATAATCATAATCTACTGGGGAAATAAAAATATAAAATGTACTTTAATAAATGAATTTATTGGCTGGGTGAGGTGGCTCATGCCTGTAGTGCCAGCATTTTGGGAGGCCGAGGCGGGCAGATCACCTGAGGTCAGGAGTTCAAGACCAGCCTGGCCAACATGGTGAAGCCCCGTCTCTACTAAAAATACAAAAAAATTAGTCAGGCATGGCGGCACGCACCTGTAGTCCCAGCTACTTGGGAGGCTGAGGCACACTGGGCAGCAGAGGTTGCAATGAGTCGAGATTGTGCTATTGTACTCCAGCCTGGGCGACAGAGCAAGACTCTGTCTCAATTAAAAAATAATAATAATGGCCAGGCATGGTGGCTCACGCCTGTAATCCCAGCACTTTGGGAGGCCGAGGTGGGTGGATCACTTGAGGTGGGGAGTTTGAGACCAGCTTGACCAGCATGGAGAAACACCGTCTCTACTAAAAATACAAAATTAGCTGGACATGGTGGCACATGCCTGTAATCCCAGCTACTTGGGAGGCTGAGGCTGGAGAATTGCTTGAACCTGGGAGGCGGAGGTTGCGGTGAGCCGAGATCACGCCATTGCATTCCAGCCTGGGCAACAAGAGTGAAACTCCATCTCAAATAGTAATAATAATCAATCGATTGATCATGAACAAGAATTGCACAAAGAAACAGGAAAATAATTGTTTGGCAACCTCCTCCCTCTCTCTATATATATTTTTTCTTTTTTTTTTTTTTTGAGACTGAGTCTCTGTTGCCTAGGCTGGAGGGCAGTGGCGTGTTCACAGCTCATTGCAGCCTCGACCTCCCAGGCTCAAATGAGTCTCCTGCCTTGGCCTCCTGAGTAGCTGGGACTACAGGTGCATGCGCCACCAGGCCCAGCTACCTTCTATAT